TCATTTCCTTCCTTTTTAATCGTCTTCTTTCCCTCTTCATTTCCAACAAAGCTTTGCTACAAACGAAACCAGATACTAGTAGTACAAGCAGCAACATCAGCTTCCTCAGAGTGGTAATAGTAGTAGAACTAGCAATGTTCAGGATCTTAGCCGTTCTTGTTGAATTGGTTGCTCGTAAAATTATGTTGTAAAGTGAAATTGCCTATTAGCATTACACCAAGCAAAAGGAACATCAATCGGGTATTTTATCTTTTGTTTCATTTAGGCGCTAGAGCCTCAAAACAATTAATCCGAAGTACTTATTTTACTTGGAATATGATAAACTATCAAAAGCACATGGGTAGCAGGTTGGGTTTCGAACCGGCGAGCCCAGTTTCTAGCACTAACGTAAACTGACCACTGAGCTACATGTACATGTACGTTCTGCTCACTGACACCGTGTGAAGCCTGTGGGACTACGTTAACATCATTGTGTCTAATTAATAGAGTCCATGCCATATCAATACAGTCGTCTCCATATCATCTACGATATGAAGGAGACAAAATCATAAGGAAAGCGAAATATGGAGGAAGTCAGTGATAAAGAAAAAAAAGGAATTTCGTCTCTCGTTTCAGTATCAGAACTCAGAATGAAATAATATAATTAGAACCATACGCCTTCATTCATGATCAAGGGTTATTGGGACTACATGCAATCTACACCGTTCTAGGTTATATTTTTGGCCGATTTTTTAAATTTAAATTCTGAGAGCTGACGTGGTTGGTTTACTTCTTGATGTATCTTTTCGAGATTCTTGGAATGACAGAAGCGTCACTTGAAGTTGAGAGGAACTCTTAAAAAAGAAATAGGGTTACAAATTGATTTATGTAATTTTATTAATTTTGCGTAGAAGAGTATCTCTAACTCTGCATTCTCCAGATTCTGTATTAGGAGTGAAATGCTATTCATACATATTTCGAGCAAAGCCCCTATGATTACATTCTTCATAATATTTCTCAATGAAAATATGAGGGAAAAATGTCATAGTTATTTTAGTATTACACGAACACGTGTATGATGTATTACGTAATATGAGAAGAAAAAAAAATTGATGATGTATTACGTAATATGAGAAAAAAAAATCATAATTATTTTAGTATTACACGAACATGTGTGTGATGTATTACGTCATCCAAACATGATTTATATTGCATAAAAAATATATTATTCAAATTTCACTTGAGTTTATTGTTAGAAAATAGTTGCGATTGTGTCGTAGTCTCAACCTAGCAGCAAGGTCCAAATTCATTATTTAAAAAAAACACGTACCAAATCTATGGTAACTTTAAATTGTTATGAAGAGGAGGTTAATATGTTTTCGCTTTAAAACAACACAGGTGCATACGCAGTATGAAGTCTGGTCTCGTATTTGCACTCATCGTTCCTCACCAGTCATCATCAGACACTTACTACTCAAACTTTTTAGAGTAACAAATCCCCCCTTTTGAAAACTTCCGTCTGCAAATAGTTCCATAGACACAACGTAACCCCTGCCAGCGTAGGTCAGAGGAAGGGGAAAGAGTCTTTATTAACCCTTTAAACGCTGGTGAGGTGTTATGTTCTGGAGGAAGCATTCGGCAGCTGAACCAATAATGTGTATTCCTTCAAGTATGATTCTGACAGAGATTGTATGTGTTGTATCCTCACATAATGGAGTTGCTTTATTTTTTTTAATTTCCATTTACTTTATTGAAAATGTAACTAATGTTGTAACATTTTTGCAAGATGTGTGAAATGTGTTTTTGGATTATTATTTTTTTTAACAAAGCTAGTCGTATTCATTATATTCAATTAATGGTTTATTCTGTTATCATGGTTGTCAAAATCATCATAAATATCACAAACGCTTTATAGGATAATCCTGGGTAATCATCAGATCATTGATAGAAGTATTAATATATTTTAAAACTAATACGACATTAACATTTCTTTTAGAAAAATAGTTTTGCCAAATATCAAACTTAAAGTAGTCCTTGTATTCCAATATATATTTCACTTTTAGGATTTTAAAGGCACGTGCATTCAAAGTGAAGTGAAGTGTTTTAAAGATTTATAATTGTCTACGTGTTACTAAGATAACACCAACCTCGATAGCTTGGATACCTAAGAAAAGTGCACCTCAACTCTAGACGTGAAGGGGAGGCAGCTTTTGTGTTATATACCCGACGTATTTCAGCCGCCATTGTTTGAGCAACCTCGTCTTCATGTTTGCTCGCTATGTTTACCAATTCTTGTCAGTTATGTATACCAAATATACAGAGGTGCCGACTCGCTTTCGAGTCGCGGTGCGCGGTTCTCTATAGCCTCACACACTCGCGCGTGCATACATTTAACCCTGACCGTACGCGTCAGCTTTCACGCGGCTTTTATTGGGCTTTAGAGAAGTCGATAAACTCTCATTCTGCCGCGCTGTGTGCTCTCTCAATACATGCGGTGTCTAAACACCGACGTTTATTTAAACATGTGTAAAGTGAGGTATGAATGGGAGAGGAAAATAGCAAAATCGTCTGGGGAATGTCTTTACTAATGGCGAAACGATGTCGGTTTCAACGGGGAGGCCATGCAACAGGCTAAGTGAAAGTAAACCGCCTGCCCTTCGATAAATAAAGAAGATTTAATGAATGAAAGGAAATAGTGTTTATCCAAAGTAGCACAACCTAGCCCAACAATGAAAACCTTTATAGATCATCTGTGCCGCCTTAACTTGTAGTTAAATGAGTTTATGTTTAAGAGTTACAGCATATTTGCTCGTGTTTGTCAATTAATATATTCCTTAATTCACAGCCTTAAGCATTGGAGTCCTGATGCGTATGATACATTTATACACATCAATATTTGTATGGGGAAAATGTAGATCATTCATATGTTTGTGTGGGAAGCCTTTTGGCATTTTATCTCATCATGGAGCAAATAGAAAACTTTAATCTACATAGCATTACCCCACAACAAGATTGATTTTCATATTCGTAATGAAATTTTGCAGCAGGTAAAATAGGCACAAATGGTGAGGCATCTCCAGTTATTCTCGGAGTTAAAGGGGGTGAACTTAAACATCGGGAATGCGACACATTGTGACGAACTGTACCGAATATTCTCTCCATCGTTATCATCATGACTATGACTACTTAAACAATTCCTAGCTGATCATATTCACGCTTTCCATTTAGGAAGCCTTGAATGTTTTCAAGATGAGTGTATACGGATTAAAAAAGGTCCCCCTTTTCTCCTTTGACGCCCTTCATCTTCGCCGATCCCTGATACACCGTTCCAATATTTCATATTCGTAATGAATCGTGTCACGGGGGCAAGTCTGATGTCGAATCCGTTTAGCAGCGTACACCGATGTAAGTCTCTCTACAGGATTAAACCCTGCGGTCTCCGGTCAGTCGATGGAAGCGCAGGTATGGAGAAAAGAAACCAGGGGTACAGTCAGGGCATCTACGGCCCCATCCCCCTCCCCTCGTCACAACCAGGAGAGACTGGAATAAGGATATTAACATGCTATGAAGTACATGTTTCATTAAAAAAAATGCGACAAATGCCACAAATGACAGGGTACCCTTGTCATGGCTGCGGCGTTTCTTTGTGATGCTAAGCCTCCACTCTTCCACCTTCCGTTCCCCCTTTTTTTGGAAGACCCCCATCTACCGGTCTTCAAGGATTGGTTCCAATCGTGCGCAGGTGAAATTGTGTAATCTGAGTTTGAAGGAGGGAATGACTACTCCGTCAGATTGAGGCTGGAAACAAAATGACAGTTGACAATCTATCATGCCCGTGTTTTATTTTAGTATTTTTTCAATTTCATCTTAATATAAATAACTTTTCTCTATTGGATTAAAGAATGCCTAGAGGGCGTCTTTGGGCCTGTTATAGGCCATTGCCCCATTAATCGTATTATAAGGATTGTCAATGGCTGCATTGGTATACATGTATGAATTCATATCGGATTGTATTTATCGTGTACTTCGAAGATGACCGGAAAGTTTCCAAATGTATGTAATGTAACCACTGTGTCCTCCATTGAACTATCAAATATTTTCTCTTTTTGTATTTTGACGTTGAGGAAATGGCAAGGAATTAGGGAGAGGCAGATTAGGTCGGTGTAGGTTTAGTTAGACAAGCATTATTTCTAATATCCAATGTGCATGGTTGGAAAGGATGACGAAATAGAAGAAATAGGATGTTGAATATGAACAGATGATAACAGTACTCATTAATACGAAATAAAAATAGCAAATATTCCATATTCCACAGCCCAAGATATAAAAATAAAAACCGTAACTTTTAATAATGAACGTCATATTGACAATTTATGTTTGTCGTCATTGTGTTAGTGCCTTAGTGGTTACACTGTTGGTGATCGATAATTAGATATTAAGGAAATCCAAGATGGCTGTTTTAGCAGTGACTAGCATTATTATGCTTTTCGCGAGTTCGTTCTACCAAATCACATGTAACTGAGTTCTCTGACCACGAGAACAAAACAGTGGCGGATTTGCCGACATACTTGCATTCTTATCGCCCAAAATAGCCCAATCCTTGCTCTCGATTCGCCCAAAATGTTTCCGCGCAAAAGGAGGTCGTCCATTCAAGTGTAATGAGATGCTTGATTTGTTTCTGTGCTTCATCATTCGTCAGGATTGCCCTGCAGCCGTCTTGTGGTATTAGAGCTGAACGAAGCCACACATTTTCTTTTTAAGATATATTCATTTCAATTCACAAATATTGGTAGCTGTTTGGGTATAGGGCGTGGACCTGTGATCCTTTTCTGAAGCCTACATATTTCATATAAAATACAAAACTTCTCACCTTTCGGGTTAATGTAGAATGAAATGAAAAATAAAGTCGCTTTTATGATATTGTTATTATCAATTTATTTATTAACTTAAATATGTGAGAAAATGTACCATTTCAACATTACCATGTCTTTGAATTAAAAGAACACAATTTAGCCGTCGCGATGTCTTCATTTTTAACAAAAGAGGGCGATATCAACTTCGATGTAATGTTATTGCTATTTAAACCTTTCTCGCTCTCTCTTTCTCTCTGTCCATCTCTCTCTCTCTCTCTCTCTCTGTCCATCTCTCTATCTCTCTCTCTCTCTCTCTCTTTGTCGCTTCCTTCGTTCTTGTTAAGGTTTTCAGGTCCACTATTTGCTTTATACAGAAGACAAGTAATGTATAGAAAATTGTAAAAATGTTGAACCATCTCCGGAATGAAATATGTTCAGTATGTTCTTGACAAAACGGCATCTGGATGAAATAATTACGAAGATTTTCCTCATCATCATGAGTAGCTATGGTGTTCTCTTTATTATATTTAACATTATTACAAACGGCAGTGATATGAGGTGAAACCTTTTTCTTATGTATTTTCTTTTTCTCTGTCTTTACAGGGTGCACATGACGACTCAGCAAATTATATCCATGGTGAGCATCATCATTCCGTCATCAGAAAAGGTATTTTGATAGTAGTTTACCCATCAATTATGTAATCCATGTTATTATATGTTTCATTGCACTTTCCACCCTGTTTGTAATGTTTATTGTTGTACTTACTAATATAAATATGTATACCAAATTTGTTTTCTTTTAAGGTTATTTAGTACTTGATTAAATATACATACGGTACATTATTCCATCATTAGTTAGTGGGTTATTCCTCATATTCTGCTCGATTTGTACTCTATAAACATTCGGAAGGAGGATACAACGCAAATTTGTGTGAAGAAATAGCGGGGTAGAATATTGTTTTAATTAGATATTGACTAATTTGTATCAGCTTTTATGTCGAAGTTGACATTGAACTTGAATTATGACAACGACTCAAAATGAACGACCCTTCTTTTTTCCTCAATCTTCGCCTCATTCCCTTTCCTTCTGTTTCTTCTCCCCCCCCCCCCTCCTCTCTCTCTCTCTCTCTCTATCTCTATCTCTCTCTCTTTTATATACATTATATATCCTCTTATCTTCTCCCTTTCTCTCTCTCTCTCTCTCTCTCTCTTTCTCTTTCCTTCTCCAATCTTGCTATTTCTGTGTGTGTCTGTCTCTGCTTCTATCCCGTTTTTACTCCTTGTTTTCTTCCCCCTCCGTTTCCATTCTCAATCTCCCTTCGCATCTCCCCTTTCATTTTGACATGCCAATGAAAGCTCGTCAAAAGAATAAAGTAGACATGTAAACAGCTCGGACTGCATAAATACATCGACCGAAATATTATCGCCGTTATAATCTCAATAATGCCGTCCCTTTCTCTATTCCTGGTGCTTTGCGGCTCCCTCAGTCCCACGCGTAGGAATTAGAGTAGTGTACACGGACTTGCATAGCCGCTTCTCTTTTAATGTACCGCATAATCCGTCGATCGAGGGAGAAGGGGAAAAAGTGGTGGAGAAAATCCCTTTACGATCTCCACCGAGGTATGTGCGTCCCGTTAAAAGAAGGCATTCTTAATGGGATTTTAAACTAAATTACCCTCATTCACACGTCTCCTTGTTTCCCCTTCAGTCTCTCCTATGTCAATGTCCGTGTATGTCAGGGGTCGATTCGATCTTACCCGCTTGTAGAAACAACCTGGCGCTATTCGACTAGCTCCAATGCCTAACGAGGTGTGCTCTCACTGACACACCTTCTGCCAATCTTCAATACCCCCTTGTGACTTGGCCGCCGCTTACGGATGCGCACCAACGAATGCACGCAGCGCGTCATGCCTGTATTCTGTGCGCAACCCCAAACGCACACGCACATGTACCATCGCCCACACTTTTTATAACAGTCCTAGCACTGAAATGGCGTTCCCTCGCTCTGATCATTACGAGCGTGTGCGTTGAGCATGATGAAATATGGATAGTCGTGGATGGAGAGCGCGCGAGGGCGATGAAATTATACTTCGTCATCAACGCCTCGACGAACACGCCTAGTCCATGCTGAAACGCCACTGTCATTTTGTGTTTAATGGCACCTATACTCTGTGGCAGCAAAACTATGTGACAGAATGAATTCATCAGATAATTGGTCACAAGATTATTGTAACACACCACCACGGTGTGACCTGTTGAAAGCGCTTCAATTTATTTAACAACCACCCGCAAATACTGTATTAAGATTTCGAAACATACTAACCAAATCTAGTGATGCCCATTTTGATTAATAAGACAGTATGTAAATTTGAGGTGACATTCGGGCAATTTAGCACCGTTTCGAAAGGGGGGGGGGAATCTTCGATTTCTTTGAATTGTGTAGAACTGTCCCCTTAACCTCCTTTTCCAGGGATAGGATCTAGAATAAACATCGATCAAAATAAATAGATGAGGTAAATTTCGATTCCCTATACGTTAGTCAATTACAGAGGATGTACAATGCGGTGCAACCTCGTGAAGTTTAGGAAAAGATGTAGGCCTATACGGTTTTCGAGGATCTACGGTTACTTTTAGATTAATCAAAATGTGATACCCCTGAGAGAGATCTTATAGATGGCTCGTACTCGAATTTCATAACATGTTTGTCTTTTTTACGTTTACAAGTGTTCGGCGATCACCCGAGTGCATTTCTTTTGCTTTCGTCGTCCCCTCAAAGTGTATGCCTTCCGTTGATGGCCTATACCTGATGTCTTTGACCACCCAACTATCTGGTCTACGAAGGATCCCAAAACTATTTATTTTCATAGTCATATGAATGTATAATATCTACTGTCCGAATATGATAAATACTGCCCACTATCACTTGGCTTTCTTTTTGTTTAAACATGTCACCAGATCGTGTATTTACCACGATGTTTTATTCAAAATGGTGGATGATTATGTCTGTAAACGTAGCTCCTTTCAAACGTGATGTTTTCTTTGCCTACCGCTCCGTGGGGCCGCACAATCCCGACTCTCTGCTCCCACTATACCCGTGATTTAGGGCGGAAAATTGATGAAAGGCCATTTGTGCGCATTTTAAACAAGTTATGTACGCTCTTCAAGAAATGAAAAGAAACCACTGCATGTGCAGCAGCAAAGGCCTGTTTTCTTTTCCTTTTTCCCCTCGTTCTTTCTTTTTTTCTCCCTTCAAAATCCCCCGTCTGTTTTTGTCTTGTCTGCCACTCGGCCCTTCAACCACGGGCATTGAACCCTCTTTAATCCCTGCGCACCCGGAATACAAGGGTCCATTCCAAAGAGTCGGGGTAATAACACCCATCTACATTTGACATTACAAATTTTGATAGGGATCTAAATTGTGCAGCACCATGTGCACGAGACTCGACACCAGGTTGGTTTCAATTTGCCGATAACTTTACTCACTTTGTATTTACCCAATTTGCTTCCATAACCATCACTTTCAAATTCGGGTTACAAAGAACGCGGTGTTTGCACTTGTGATGGTTAGAATTTTATTCCCCTTCTTCCTTTGTTCACATATTTATCTTTAATCTGTATCGAATTGTTCGTTTTTGTTCGTTCTTTACGTTGGTAAGGTGCATTTGACAGAAAGCAAATGGCTTTTGATTAAAAATGGAACACGGTCACTGACGGTATTTATTAAATCGTAATAAATTTATCCACGTTTAAGTGGTTAAATTTTGTTTTCTGATTTATGAAAAAGTAAGCGTCAGCTTTTTCAACTGACTTAAATTTCAACATGTTTTTTGTTATTTATTATAATTATTATTATATCAATTATCCATTTGATTCCATGAGTGGATTCATTTTTTGTTCATTATGTGTGTAAAATCAAGGGAAGTCTGACAAAATAAAGAGCTCGACACCTGGTGTTCCATACATCATTGGAAAAACTTAAATCAGGTGTAAATGAGTCCTCTTTTATGAATAATAAGCGCTTGGGTACAAGGTACTTGAATCAGAAAAGCCCGATTTGCCTCTAATGCCTATTTTCACATCTCACTAAGACAATAACGGCCTTGAAAAATGACATAAAAGCTGCTACAAGGCCACAGTATTACAACGTCAAGATCTAATTAAAACAATATTATTTTGGAAAGCAGACTCAAAAAATGCATTGTTTATCAATAGGCACCCATCAAAGGTTGCCGACTTACCACTCACTACTGATCTAGAAGGAAATCAATTCACCAACAACAGCTGTTTAACTATTAATTAGGTCGCGCTCCCTTTAATCTTCAATCGGCTGTTCTTATGGATTATCTTTCACAACATAATCTAGATCTTATTGTTACGTATAATGATTTTTTTTTTTTATAAATTCTGAATTTGTGTAGATTATTATTATTTTGTTTTTTTAATAAATATACTTGAATTTCTCTCTACGGCAAGATATTTATAGGTGTAAAAACTTATACAAAAACAGGAATTTGCCGACTTGATTTAAACTAATTCCCAAAGACTTTCAGAAATAAACCTAAGAATAAGTCAATGACGTATTTCACAATGCGAACATGATATGTAAAGGACGAACAATAGGTTATTGAAATTGCCATTGAATTTTTTTTCTGAAAATCTTAGTGTGTTTTTTTCTTCATTATTCAATGGCTCAGTCAAAAATGTGACAGACAATGACAGTACTAAAACCCCGCCTAACAAACAAAAAGGATAAGAAAGGAAAAGAAACGAAATTAATTTATGTTACCTTACCTTTCAGTGAAGAAGACGTCACAATCACGTCATTTTCTCGGCATCTAAAAAGGTTTGAGGAACATTACCCCGGATGTGGCACGTTTCGTGGGAATAGTAATTAATGCAACTTTGCATAGAGCTTTCAAGCTATTTAAATAGATTCATCATGTCATATGGGGACAAGAAATTACTGTTCTTAGTTGTAATGAACCATTTTTAAAGAAAATGTTCGGATTCTTTCTGAAATTCCTTCTGAAAATGACCGTCAATTAATCACCTTTATGGTTGTTTCCAGTCACCAGACTTGTCATTTCGCATCACTTGACAGCCATGCTTTAGTCAATACTGCAATGGCGGTTTTCACCAAAAAACGAAAACAGATGAGAGAGAGAGAGAGAGAAAAAAAAGAGGAGAAAGTGAGATAAAGAGGGGGAAAAAGGGAGAGAGTGTGAGAGAGAGAGAGAGAGAGAGAGGAGAGGGGAGAGGAGAGGAGAGAGTGAGAGAAGGAAATGTGTTTGTGAAAAGGCTGTTCGAAGTGGTCGCGGGATGACCAATATTTAGCCATTTGAATGAGTCTTGTGTTCACCCTAACGTATTTCTTTTGTGAACGTATTTTTTGTTTAGTGGTGTGGGTGTGGTAAATGTGTGCGTGTGTGTGTGTGTGTGTGTGTGTGTATGTGTGTTTGTGGTGAATACGCTACAGCTTTGGCACGAGTTGCATGCACTTTCAGCCCAAGGCAATGAACTATATGATGCCATTGATCTGATATGATATCAGGTATAGGTCTATAGCTTAGTGGTTATTTCGTCAAAAGAACCAGATTTGGGGAGAACCTCAAATTTCCCATTATGGGGGATATTATATATCTTGTCATTTTCAACATTGAATAGTAT